GCCCCGTCCTCCTCCGGCCCGCGCGAACCCCAACCTCGGCCCCGGCCCCGGCCCCGGCCCGCTTCGTTTTTTCCACGAAGGCATGCTCTCGCTTACGCACTACGTCACAGGGATCGATCCTCGGCCACGAGGTCGAGGGCTGGAAAGTGTTACGAGAGGAGAAAGGAGAGCCACCGCCTAACATTCCGCCTTCTGCCTTCCAGAGGATAGGAAACGAGCCGATTCGACCGGAGCGTCGGAGCGTCGGAGGCACGGCTCGGCGCGGCACGGCGCGGCACGGCGCGACGCGACTTTCCGCGACGTTCGTCGACCAACCCCGCTTCGATGGGACGAGCGGGCCTTCCTCGGAGGAATTCGGGGGGGTGGAAATGTCACCGGGTCCCCGATCGGGGGGGACACCCTGCTCGAATCTCGTTGTCCCAACGGCGAAATTTTGCGCAACGAGACCCCGTCCGCGAATCAACGTCGAAGGATTAAATCTTTCTTCGAGCCAGTGTACGCTAATTCGTGTCGGCTAATTCGAGTGCGGCAAAGAAAAGGTTCGATAGATTCCAGTTAGACAGCAAGAGTGAGAAAGAAAGAGAGGGAGAGAGAGAGAGAGAGAGAGAGAGGGAGAGAGAGGGAGAGAGAGGAAGAGAGGGAGCGTAATATTTAACGTTCCCCGACGACGATCTTCGAAGAAACCTCGTCGAAGCCCTCGACCACGCGCTGGGACGCGGGGCAGGACCGACGCGACGCGACGCTTAGACGGCGTGGCGCGACGTTTTTCAACTTTTCCGAGCACGGAGAACCTACGCGCGGAGAAAGGGAATCCCGGTTCTCGGTGTTCCTTAGCGGGCCGACTCGAGCACCGTGACACCGATCGGCCATCTTTAACGAGGCGAATTACGAAAACGCGTGGCAATTTCGAGCGTGATTGGAGACCGAGACGGATCTTTCGAAATCGGCCGAGGGAAATCGCGCGTTCGAATTCCAGCATGGAAAACTAGGAAGCCACCGCGGCGTTCCGTTCGTCCGTTGAAAAAGATTCTCTGAACATTTTCACCGGTCTCGTATTTGTATTCGAACGACTCCGTCCACGGAGTTTTCGCGCGACGAAATTCCTACGCTACTCGCCTACCGCGACACCGATCGAGCCTCGAATTATCGTGCACGCGCGGTTACACGAGCATGCGAACACCTTTAACCCAATTTATCCGGCGCAAAGATTTCGCGAGCGACGACGATTCGAATTCGCGTCGGTCGCGTGCTCGCGAGCGGCGAGCGGGAAAAAATTGTTTGCGGTTCGAAAGCATCGCGTTTCATATTTTATGCATTTCGGAGGGCTCGCGACACCCGCGCGCGAGTCGCGTTCGACCGGCTCGTCGCACGGAACGGAGGTTCGAGCGCCGGCACCGGATGCTCGGAACGCGCGTTCGATTCGTTTCGCCGATCGCCCGACGACGCTGTTCGTTCCGCGATCCTCCGTTCCGCGATCCTCCGTTACGGTAACTCTCGACGAACAACCGGGAACGAGCGGCGACCGACCAACTCGAAACTTCGGAGGCGTAAAACCGCGCGCGTTACCGGCCCGCGTCGGAACTTTCAGCGTCGAGTGGAACTTTATCGCGAAACGCGGTGCAATTGGAATAAGAAACGAGCCTGCTACGACGCGAATTCGCGTTCGGGGAACCGGATCGAAATAAACGCCGCGCCGACGCTCCTGCTTTCGACGAGAGCTCGTTGTTCGATCCCGCGATAAAAGAACTATCGTCGAATCCGTTCGAATCGAATCGAATCGAATCGCGCGGAGAAGCCGAGATCGAACCTTGCCCTTGCACGGCACGCGACGAACCTGGCGAAACTCGGTTTTTCCAGGCGCTGCGAATTTTTCGTGCTACGATGCACGGAGCGTCGGAGAACGCGCGAACTCGATCTCGATGTAAAAATTGAATTCCGGTCGGAGGCTGCGATAGAAATTTTGCCGAAATTACCCGTACGTTCGAATTATCCGTCGCCCCCGACCGAGTCCCGCTCTCCGGAGCGTTCGACGACGCGTCGAATTTCGATTTCGGCCGAAAACGCGACCGTCCAAGCTTTTCGTACTCGACGCGGCCGTCTCGTCGCGTCGCTCTGTCGGCCGATAATTAGCGAGAGTGGACGCGAGCCGTTCCGCCGGAAAATCGCCGGTGGAAAATTCATTGAAACCGAATTCGCTCGTCCGAGCGGAGCCTCGTCGTCCCGTAAGGTCGTCCGCGCGACTCGATAGATCGATCGGGGCTGCACCGTATCGAGAGAACGCGATACGAGTACGTGGTCGGAAGAGCGTTGCGAAACCCGGGGGTGAACGGGGTGCGGAGAGGGTGGGGAAGCGGTGGCTGCGGCAGCGCTCCGGCTAATAATAAAAGCGAAGGAATATTTCCTGTACACCCCGGGAACGGGAACGGGAACGGGAACGGGAACGGGAACGGGAACGGGAACCCGCGCTGTCGCCGGGGACGATACGATGGACGCTGGAAAAAAGGCGACGGAGCAACGTGATCCAAAAACCGCGCGCGTCCTTCGGCCCTCGCCCTTTTGCCCTTCGCGTCGAGCGAAACGTCGTCGAAACGGTCGCTCCGCCTTCCCGACGGATAGCGCGCGATATTTTCCGATTCGTTCCGTAAAGCGAGACCGTATCGTGGAAGCGTCGAAACGAAAAATGATCGTACATCGATGCGGAAACGAATAATTGGAAATAAAGAATCCGGAGGAAAGAGAGGTCGCGCGAAAAGAATTACAACGGGGAAGCGCCGTCGCAGCTTGCAACGAAGAAAAGAACGGGGAAAGAAACGAACGATGGACCTCCGATCGCGATCGCGCAGAGTACGGAGAGTCGTACATAGGAGAAGCGTAAGGAATAGAAAAGGATTTGGACGATCGATCGATCCGGATAAGAAGCGGCTTTGCGAGAAAATAGACGGGAAAAATACCGTCGAACTGTTCCGAGCAGCGGCCCGAGAGGGAAAAAAGTGTGTAAGCTAAATGGAAGAACGAAAGGGACGGCGGAAACAATGGGCGAGTCTCGCGTAAAAATGAAACAAGCTCGAGGGGCTCGATCGAGGCAAAAACGAAGAACAAAATCGCGGAGGAGCAAGGGTGAAAAGATGTAGGAAAAGTGCCAAAGTAAAACGAATAAAAACTCGGG